CTATTGTCATGTACTAATGAATTTTTTTTGGATTTCTGATTTCAGATGAGTTCCTGCCGAGTTATGCTGCTCACCGCAAAACCACTTTTTTTAAAACACATCTCCGTAGACCGGCACAGATTCACAATTATTGAATATTTTTGTACGAAAAAATTTTGAAATATACTTCAAATATAACTTTATTGGATATGTAAACTTAAACAAATGTATATGGTTTCATTTTGTTTAAAAAAAATCCTTAAAAATCGCTTTTTTCAGCCCTCTAAACATATATAACTCCTTAATGTTATAATTTTCTACTGAACAGTGTGTTATACAACATGTGTTATATTATTATTATATTTGTACTATTATATATTAAATGAGCAATTATAATTATATTGTTGTAACGTTATTGTTTGTATTCTGCAGGTATATACACAAATGGTAATTATACAATTAAAAGGGATCAGATCGTTTTAGGTAGATCGGCTTTCATTCTTCTCAGGATGTCAATTTGGATGTAGCAACAAAGAGTTAGAAAAGAGTACATTAGGAAGATGTGTTGTTTTAAACTGAATGTGATTATTATAGAATCAGAAGTATTTTGTTTGAAATGCATTTACATCTTCCTTTTAGTTGATCAAAGAAAATATTAACGTAGTTTGTTTCATTCAAAAAAATTTTTCCGTAAATCTTCTTGCTCTATTTTAGGTAAGATTTATCGGGAAGATGAACAATAAGAAAATCAGCACAAATTAAAAACAGACGGAAGAGAGTTGAAAAATAATTATTCTGATTAATAAAATATTTATTAATTAAATCTCATTACACATAAAACAGTGCAATGTGCCTCTCGTTACTAACACTGCGTTACTCGCATGAGTATACGTATTAAGCATATAAAAAATAACATTATGCTACGGATTACATTTTTCGCATTTCAGGTCTTAAGAAATGCTTACTATGGGGTAGGCCTCAGACAACTTTCTTTAAACCATTTTCTATTGATCAGTGTTTCTTGCCTGTACCATTAGCCTTTTATCTCCATTATCGACCACCGTTTCGTGAGATTTTGCCTTCAAATCTCAACAAACGGGACCGGAATCATGATTTCGATGCTACGACAAGATGTATGGCGAAGCAACGAAGATTGATTTACTATTTATTCTGCCTTGAGTATCGTCGATGTTTAACGTAGTTGTAGATCGTAGTGCTAATGCACCCCTCCTCCTCCCTTCGTTAAAAGAGCACCGTTGTATAGGTATAGTCTTATGGGAGCAACAACTATTATATATTATATGTATTATACAAGATATAAAGATGCCGATATATAATATATAAATCCCTCATATCGTGCTTCCTCTCTACTTATAACAAATCACGAGTATCTCGTGTAATCCTTATGGATAAGTGTAATTTGCTGTATTCACTACTGTCTATTATCTCCACTATATATCGATCTAACATTATTATCATAATAACTCCCCTTATTCCTTTCGTGGCTCGTTGTCACGGATTTCCGTGATTGTGAGAACCCGTGCATGCGGACTCCACTTCTACGAAAGACGTGGGTGTTTCCAGAACTGTTCAGAAATAGTTTATCGATTTTGCAACATCCCTAGGGGTTCGATGACGTTGTGAGATAGAACTTGGTTTTCGCATCTATAATTTCGCACACTCAAGTATCCGATCGACGCAGAGATTTTTCGAACAGACGTCTAATAGACATCTCAATCTTTCAAATACTACTTTGGACGTCTTGAGGATACATTTTCAATCTTTCGTCGTTTGAGTATTTATCTAATACATATCGTATGAACATAAATATTAACATATTCATTGCCAATAAATGTGAGTGCCAGTGATCGGTTGGCAATAAATATGTTAGCGCAATGAAAGCATGAGAGTTTGTTCATTCATTGGATCACCCGAATTTCTTCTTCTGCATTTACCGTCGTCTCTTACTTCTATTCGTTACTTTCCTCATGACGAATCTCGCGCGTACCTTCTCTTCACGTGAATCGCTGCAAGATCGTAGATACGGAAAGTTATATCCTAGTCGAAGCTGCACGATCACTTGCAGAATTGTACGACGCGAGGCGTGAGAAACCCTCGGTTTTAGTGACGTCGCCGGGCTCGCCGGACCTGTACGCCCAAGGACGCAGTCGACACTCCCGACATCCGACCGGAAATGCGAACGTGGGCGGCAGCATCCAGGTGAAGCTGGGCTTCGATCCCGTGGGACTTCAGCTGATCGTCACGATAATATGCGCCGCGGGGCTCACCCCAAAGAGCAACGGCCAACCTAGAAACCCTTACGCCAAAGTTTTTCTGCTTCCTGACAAAAGGTAAGTGAATTTACTGAGTATTATTATTTTATAGTATTCGATGACAGTACATTTCAATCGAAAATTTCGAAGAAATACGCGTAATACCTGTGAATGCTCCGATATTCATAATTTGAGCATCGAAGCATCTACAGATAATTCAATCAAATATCATGAAAACTCAACTAAATACATTGTTTAAAATATATTATTTGATGTAAATACGTTAACATTATAATTTTGTTTTACACGAAAAAGAACGGTTTTGCTGAAGTAGACCTAAAAATATTTAGTTATGTAGGTCTGAAAATAATTTTGTTAGATTAGCAAAATAATTATGTAGGACGCTCAAACTGGTTGATAGAATGTTGAAACTTTATGCAGCATTGCTCATCATGCTTGAGTTTTCTGCATAATTATTTTGATGGTCCAACAAGATTATTTTCAGGTCTGTATCTACCTAAATTTTTAGATATTTTATCAAAATTGTTCTTTCCGTGCAAAATATTTTAACAATGATTATTCAGTTTGTGGTCTATTTTATTCTAACATAATTACCGACTAAACTTTCGGATATTTTATACGCTCTTTTTTTAAATGTCACTATAGCGAAAAATCGAAACGACGTACGAAGACTGTGGCAAACACGAACGATCCCAGATGGAATCAGACTTTCGTTTATAATGGAGTCAGACGTTCGGAGCTGAGGAAGAGAGCACTGGAGATTACGGTCTGGGACTACGCTAGGTACGAGGCGAACGATTTCCTCGGCGAGGCTGTCCTGGAATTGGCAGTATGTCTCCTGGACGAGGAACCAGAATGGCATTCTCTGACCGCTCACGGAGAACACCGGCACGTTAGGTATGACTCGCACTCGCGGATGCTAGTAGTTCCAATGCCAATGCTAAAAGCGATCAAATAAATGCTTCGCATCGATACGAATCCCTTACGGAATGTTTGACAATGTTCCTATGTTATACCTCTCTCTCTGCGTATAATGTGACGTAACATTGTGCAATGTCTTATCTCGTGGGTCTCAGAAATCTGTATTTTACGACAAATTCATTCTGTCCATATTCTTTTGTTTCTAAACAAATAAAAATAAATTTAATATTGCGACAAAATGGCTATTACCGTTAAGACTATTAACTATTTTTACTCTTCAGGCATTACCAAGATGATGACATGATAGATTGTCATCTTAGTCCGCCATCGACCACCTCGAGATTAAGTGACTCCGACACCTCGGAGTGCGACATTACGGATTGTGACGTGTCTAGAGAACAGAGGAGAACGGCTGACGGTGCCAGCATAAGCAGTATTGGCAGTTCCTCTAGGTAAGACTATTTCTTAAAATCTTTGTAATATATATAAATCTCCTGGTCTAACGAAAGAGAGTATATTGAAACTGTCGGAAAAAAAATCGCTTAATTCAACTAGCTTATAATGTCTCCGTTGAATACTGCATAAATCCGTCATACGCAAATCGAAACGTTTATGCGAGAATCATAAGATATCGAATAGAGATAAGTCTATATTTTATACATTACTGAAAATTAAATACGGCATCCAAATGAATTCAGCATACTTGATGGGTAGGAATTACAATGTTAATTTGGCAGAGTTGCTGTCCTCGATTTAAAATCTAGTTTACAGATGTCGTAACTATTATCGTTATTGTTACGATCTTTATTGTACAAAGAAACGTTATTTCAGTGTACGATACAGAATATTTTCCCCAAGAACTTCTTCCTTTAATATCCTACCGTTAGAATTGGACGTTTATCGAATCTATGCAATTAGAGAGAACTTTACGTGGCTTAAAATAAATACACGATAAAAAAGTCTTCATTAATTTCTTTTACTCTTTTTACCGATCATTTGTCATAAAGTTATTGTAGAGAGTTGTTTCTTTTAATAATTTGAAAATAGTTTCCGTGAAATTTTGGAAGCGGTTCCGATATTGAGTTCTGATTTGCTTTCTTTCTTACGCGACTAAAATGTAAGCCAAGTGCAGAGGGAAAATAGAGACAAGTACGAATATATAAAATAAATGATAGCTAACGGATGTCTGAAAAAAGATAAGACTCGAACGGGAGGGGTCAATCGAAAGAAAGAGAGAGGGTAAAAGCTAAGTTATAAAACTGGGCAACAAGCCAATTGACATAGCAGTTGTCCCGCGACCGTTGCTAGCTCCGGAAGTCAGTCTGAAATTCGTATTCATATTAATACTTCAGTGACAATTTCCGATTATTATTCTTGAGTGTAAAGTAATTTTTGTGTCGAAGTTTTCGAGTCTCTACTTGTGTGCGAAATGAAAGAAACAATAGTACACGTCAAAAGAAAATGAAGATAAGAAGATAACTGTTTTAAGAGTTAATCTATAACAATAATGAGCTCATTCCAAATCGCACAGTTACTAAATTAATGGATCTCAGAGAAGAAAGTTAAATACATAATAATTTATTGCTGTTGTAATAAATTATTCAGTTACAAAAATATGAAGTTTGTGAAATCTGCATTGATGTGAATTAATCATCAACGACAACGAAATTTATTACGTAACAAAATTCGTGATATGCATATGCGCGATATTTATAATTCTCATATTCCCCTCAACTCCCTTTAGCAAGTAAACTTTTTGAAATTGTTTTAATGTCAACACACGTCTTGCTCTCGCTTTAAAGATAGCTTGCCCATAAAATTTTTCATCGACGATACACGCGGCAAATCGAATCAATGTAGCGAATTCAATGAACACGTAGGCTATCTTCGATAGGCTTGGCAGGTAGAGTGGCAGAGATGAGGATAAGCCGAGATACTATCCGGCGTCGCTCTGCACTTTTTTTTATATCGTACAGCTTCGATCTGCAAAGTGAACGCTTCTAAGCGCGCATTAGCCTGTAAAAGCTTTCTCCGAATAATTGAAACATTCCAGTCTGCTTTGAGAGCAGCGGACATCCTACGCATATTTAAACAACCTTCAATATCGTTTAATGAGATTATTCGAAAGGGTTTCGCCAGTTATATTAACATATCTATCGTCGTCAAATCAACCCGACGACTAATACAATGAACAAAATGTCTACATTTTAATAAAATATTATTATTATAATTCTGCGCGGACGTTATTATATATATTTAATGGCGAACTACGAATAGGTTTTCTGATGTATCACACGAGAATTACAAAAAAATTTATTTCCATACTATTATACAAATTCTATACCATTTTTTTCGTGTCCTCGCGATATCCTAAAAATATTGATAGAATTAAAAAATATTACACTGAAAAAATAGTCTGGTTGCATTAATTGGAATTCAGGTCAAAAATGGACAAAGAATGTTCTAATTTGATCTATTATAATTCCAATTGAGATAACCAGAATTCTGATAAATATGATCAGACTCTTCTAATTCGTCCATTTTCAACCAGAAATTTTTGTTAGGATACGCGTCTATAAAAATCTGTTGTTGGACATATTTTAAATTGATACATTTAATGCGGACAAAATGTTTCATATTAAAAATGTATAACTTGTGGAGAGATAAAAAAAATAGACAATGACGCGTCGGCCGCGGCCGCGCCATCGCCCATTGATTTTAATTTTAATCGTGTGCTTTGTGATTTATTTTTTAGGTTTCATAATATGCCGTCAAATTATAAGCGGTACGGCCATTACAATTTATATCTTCTCTTTCACGAATCACGCAGTCACACGTCTTGCATCCTCACCGCTAGGTTCTGTATTGCGCGTAGATCAGTCAGTTAGTCATGCCGACAAGCCGGAGATGTAATAGGGACGTGACAACGGGACGTGTACTGACGTGATCATATAGCTAATTTAATTTAAGAACGGACAACAAAGACCTTCATTTGACAAGGATATTACTTCCAAGCGTGGATGGGAGGAAAGGAGGAAAGAAAGTGTCCTTTCTTTTTTTTTTCGGAGAAAAAAAGAAACAGCGACCCTGATACGGACGTCGTCGGTGACGGGAACTACTATCGACAAACAGAAAATCTCTAACGTCTTTTGTACTTTTTTACGCGCGCGATATTGTATACGCAAGTCGGTGAATATTGCAATGCACAATATGTTTCAGTGTTATAAAATTTTTGAGACAATATCTATCCTTCGTTTTCGTTCTTTGTCAAGGCGCGAAAACATAGTGAAATGAACAACGATATGTTAAATACGAATATTTAGCAAATCGCCATTCATGTAGGCACTTTAGACGTCATGCTGTCATTGCTTCTTGCATATACGCATATTGTATTAGATGCGACAAGACATGGCTTCTAGAATGCTTAGTGCATTGCAGTGCATCGGCCGGGGTGGATTGAGTTTCTCGAAGCTTCGATTGCGATTCGCCAGATTTTCGTTGCCAAAAGTGGTGAAAATTATTCTGGATATCTTACACACTTCGCGCCACGGTCGTTCTTTTCGACGTGCAATACTTACGTAGTACTTGGCACTCATCTAACGCACTTACACGGCATATTCTTAATTTATGGCGAGTCACCCTCTTTTTTTATCGCGCATACTTTCATTTTTGGCAACGAAAAGAGTCTCGCGATCGAGAACACCAAGGAGAACGTTCGACTGCATTGCCGAGTAACTTGGAGCTGCTTCGCGCCAAATTAGGAGATACGCATTCGCAGTTTGCAATCTGAAAAGTCGAATTGAGCTCACGCTTATATTTTATGTGCCAAAATATGAAAGATACGAAGAAGATTTGAAAGATAACGAATGAAAGGACTTTGCGGATTTTATTTTTATTTTGATGTTTTGGCTCCGTCCTCGGTGCTGTGTAGCTCATTCTCGCTCCTAGCGTTCTGAACATCTTTTTTTCCGCTTTCCCACCATCCTGGCCGCATGCATTTTAATGATTAGCGCGAGATCACAGCACTCGCCTCATTTAACTTGTAAGGCACGCAACATTCACTGATTGATGAAAAAAAATGAACGCATGCTGGAGCAGCCACTATTCTAGCCCACCGCCGGAGAGAGAACTCTGCATCGATGGTGAGCATCGGAGTCGAAGAGATATGTCACCTCAGGGACGCAAAAGGGCAGCCCTAATGATTTCTCGTGACCAACCCGCTACTATCGGCTCGAGTTACCAGACATATCGTAAGGTAAGCGTTCGAGGTTTATGTTTTTAATTATCATCTGAGCACTGATCGGAAAAATTTTTTTAATGGAGCATTTATAAAAGAAAGTGACAATATCTGAGCTTTGACGGGAACTTTTAACTAGACTAAAATAAATAACATGGCTTATAATCGATGATTACGCATAGTTCTGTTGAAGTATTTAAAAACTTAGTTAGATCTGAAAATAATTTTATTGGATCATCAAAGTAATTGTGTAGAATTTAAGCGTTGATGACAATGCTGCAAAAAGTTTTAACATTCTAGCAATTAGTTTAAGAACATCTTACATAATTATTTTGATGGCTTAAACAAAATTATTTTCAAATCTGTACTTAATTACATTTTTAGATGCTTTAGTAAAATCGTTCTCTCAATGCGTGAATGGAAAAAGAATATAGATATTCTATTTTTGAAATATACATGTTATTAGATAACATTTATTGAGATGTACATTATTAAATACGTACCGCAGGACGAGATCCATCGGGGAATGATGGGTCACAGGTCGCATAGCGCGGCACCTATGGATTCTCCAAGCATTAGATATCGAGGAAGGTCTCAGAGTCCCACCGGTCATCGTTCCTTGTCTCCACCCGAGCATAGATCGATTCCCTACTCGCACGGATACGTTCATACGACGAGGTATAAAATATCACAGGGGGAAAACTCTTTTGACATTATCTAGATTACATACTTGTGGGAATCAGAACTGGACTTACCATTGCTCCTATTTAGATTTGGCTCGAGATCGGCGACCGCTACACCTACTGGATCGCCAAAGAAACGTCAGCTACCTCAAATCCCGGCAGCTTTAAAGGAAAGAGTCGCGCAAGATTTTGAGGAACGAGCAAGATTCATGAGACATCGCAACAGACAGTCGATATACAGGAGCACGGGTATGAGAGGTTTAATGTTTTTTATCGGAAAAGTTATTGCATTTTTCCGATATTCGCTTATTTTTTTGGTACTACTGAAAGAATGAAAACCAAGATAACAGTCAATATATTAACTTATTCTTTTTATAAATTTTTATTGTGTATCTTCAATAATTGATTAATTTATTCTCAGGCTGGGAAAGGCATTATAGTGGCCTTTCGGACTCGGATCTTCCTTCAATCGGACACGATCCATTAACATTGTCACACAGTCACGCTCACAGAATGCACAGGCCGAGGAGGGGGCATTTAAGTCCCGACAAAGATGTATTGGGTGATCTTGGAGATTCTGACATGGAAAGCATAGCTTCGGTAACGAGCAGTGCCTTTAGTACTCAATCGGAACGTCCACGTGGATCGAGAGCGCTAATGTGAGTATAGTTTTATAATTAAATTTCCGTTATTTTAGCATACGAATTACCTCGCGTTGCGGCAGTCAATGTGCAAAGCAACGCAGATTCAATAGAATACCCCGTTAGAAAGGAGGATCTGAGCATCGAGCGTGCTGTTTTAAACATATATCGCTGTAACATTAGGATGCATCGTAATACATCCTTTATGTCACGATAAAATCGATAATCTGAAGAATAGCACACTCATCGGCTCAACCTCTCGAGTCAAGGAAAATCCCTGGATTAAATGGACATTGTCAACTAAATGGATATCCCGTAGTTGCACATTTTCACATCCTGCTTGTGTACGAGTCAAGTCTTCCGATATCCTTCGCGCCTTCTCTATAGAACGATTAGATTGCACTTCCTATGCACTGTGTCAATGTCCATTTAATTAGTATCCCATTCTAAGAAAGCAGGGATCAGTGCGTGGCGTTGGTCGAACGGTTAGGTAGTTGTGTCTCATCGCGTTCATAGAAATGAAGAAAAAGCATTGCTAAGTACATCGATCGCCGCGTGTCTCTTCTGAAATGCCGACCCGTTGTTCTCGGCGAATCGACAGAGTCGAGTTCTGAGATGTTAATGACCGATATGCGTTCGATCGATCGCGAACGCGCGGTTAAATAATAAAAAAAAAAAAGAGAGAAAAAGGAGCTAAAGAAAGATGAAAAGCGGAATGGGCTTACCCTTTGGCTGTGTTCCCGCAAAAGTGCTAAACTCTCTATATGAAAAACATTGTTTACAGACCGACAGTTTTAATACCCGGTGCCATATCCCCCATACCTTCGCCCCCTAGGCGCAATAGGCGCAGGCACAAACTTAGGGTACCCTACAGCGAATGTCATTGTCCCATCAAGCCCAAAAGCAACAACCCTAGCAAGTGTCCCACCCTACATCCCCTCGTACGGAGCAAGTCCGCAGTGGTACGCTCGTTGTACAAAAAGATGTGTACGCCATTCACGAGATCGCAGACCGTCGACGAGAACATGCTGAGATATTACAGCTCCGAGACCAGCGAGTACAGCGTTTCCGAGGGGTACATACTCAAGCCAGAGAGACTCGTAGCTAGTAGCGCTAAGAATCGTATACCGGCGATATACGTCGAAGATTGCCTCCGCGTCAACTTTAACGATCGTTTTGTGGAAAAGTTTCGCTCTAGGTATTCGACGCCGTATCTCGCAGGAGGATTTGATACATTGTCGCGTGCACGTAACAATTCCGCGGTGATGAAAACGACGATGACGACGACGACGTCGATGACGACGACGACGACGACGACGACGACGACGACGACGATGACCATGACGACGAGGACGAAGACGAGGACAAGGCGACCGATTGTCGATTCGATCGACTTCCCTGATCATTTCGATATTAGGAGCATAGACGCTAGATTGCATCCGCGTAGGTCTTTTTTGTCCGCTAAGACTAGGAGCTTCGACGTGATGCACGATACATACGGTGATCGTTTCGATACTAGGCCAGGGGCCGTCGGTCTGCTATCGCGCCGGGCCAAGAGTTTCGAGTACGAGAGCATTTCGAGCAACATATTCAGCGACGACAGTCTCAGGACGGCCAGAAGAAAACTCAAGCGGAATCTCTCTCTCAGCGACGCCGGGTATGGTGACAAGATACCGGCGCTGGACGATCAGAGCAAATCCTACTACGATTCTAACGGTGACGACAAAGTGCCTACGAGTCTCACGAATAAAGAGACAAATTACGATTTTCTGCTCGATCAGGACCACAAACCGTTTTATGGATATGACTCGGAATTTAGTTGCGGCGAAACAGGAACGGAGATTTACGTTCCAAGTTTCGACAAGCAGAACACCGAGACCGACGATTATCAAGCTTCTTATAGTTCCCGTTTAACGGACGACAATGGTCTCTTCAGTGACAACGACCGTGCTAATCTTAGAAATGTTCTGGACAAGGATGATACTAGTAAGAAAAAATACATGGATGGAAGTTACTTGAATCACGACACCTCGTATATTAGGGATATATCTCCAGGGACAAGAACGAAGAAAGTAGACAGCGATCTTCGTACTTCGATTGGTGATGTCTATAGTAATATTGAGGAAACTTTTTCATCTAGTAAAAATTATGATCGTGATATTCTCGCGAGAACCGCCACAAAAATCCACGATGTCACAAAATCCACTAACATGGATGAGTGGATGTCGAAGAACGTAAAAGGTGTCCTGCGGTCTCATGGAGCAACTGGTCGTTCTTATCAAGAGGATAGGTATAAGACTCGCGAGAACTGGGACACTGATTACGACGAAGGATTTATAGATCGGGAAAAGGACTACGAACAGAAGCAGTTTAGTTACCTAGACAAAGGCATTTGTGCCTTAAGAACTAGTGGATCAGTGCGCGAAGGTGAATATTTTCATGATATAACGAAACGTTCTTGTGCTGTTCAGGGAAAATGTTATGCACTATCTGATGATGATGACAAAAAGTTCACGACGAACGATTACGTCAGTTTTCGTTCGTCCGACGACTACGATTATTGGACTACGCACAGTAAGGCGGAAACATACGAGGATGGATTCGTGCCGCGAAGACGAAGGCGAAGAAATAGGAGAGGCAGTAGAGATGGAGGCGCAGGTGACTACGAGACCCTGCCACGGACCAGAGACGTGTCAGGCGCTCAATCGAGAATGGAGAGCAAGAAATTGATGACAATCCAACGAACGGAGTCCACGCCGACCCTACACTCAGACGAAGACGTGAACTCGCTTGCAGACCGCGCCAGACGTATGTACCGTCGCAAGCGAAACAGCAGTTGTCCAGAGAGTAGAGATCTACGAATGTATGGTCCGCGAGGAAACGGTGAGAGAACTGTACTGGAATCTGACGAGGAGTTCGGGTCAATGGAGACGGTAGTCGGCGCTGATTATTTCCGTCGTACTTCGGGCTACGTGGCGGACGCTAGAACAAACGACGGCATTAGATCGGGCTTCTTTGACGCGGAACAAGACCGTGATAGCTACTTAGACGCAAGATACGATCACGAGGACCGATATCAGGATCGCAGTTATCCGGTGGCACGCGGGCTAGTTAGGTCAGGGTCGCAACGTTCTTCGAGTCGCGATGCGCGATACGTATCGCGCACTAGGCGTAAGAGTAGTTGCCCGGAGTGTCGTGAGCTAGCACTGTCCTCCTCGGAGTTAGGTAGGTCGGGATCGCTATCGCGAAAGGGTGACGATCTTCGGCGTTCATCGTTAGAGACGAAGCATAGATATCGTAGGCGGAACAGCAGCTGTCCGGAGGCTAGGGATCTCGAAATGCTCGAGAAGAGGCAGCGTCAGCAGCAATTCGTGCAGCTCCATCAGCAGCAACAGCGGCACTCAAGTCAGCAGTATCAGCAGCAACCGCAGCAGCAACGGCAGCATCAGCAGCAGCAAGCGCAGCACCAGCAACCGCAGGGAAGTAGTAAGAGGAACGTGGCGATCAGCGACACCCTCGAGTACTACGAGTACTCGATGGAGAGCGAGAGCCAATGCAGCGAGAACTGCGGATTTGGCCCGTGCGATCCGCGTAGGCCCCGTAACCGAGCACCCCGCCCTGGTAACGCTAATTCGAGTCTCTTTGATTCCCAAACCGCTACCTCCGACACTGCTAAAAACTACCACCCACGGATCGACGATCATCACCACCAACACCCACAAAACACGAAAACGTCGCCGCTCGCCAATGTCGCCGATGTGGCGTCGACGTTTCTGCCACCGTTGCCGCCGTCATCCTTGTCGTCCGCTCGACGACGATCCCGAAAAAAATCCATTTACGACGTCGACGTCGTCGCCGCCGTCGCCGATCGTCGCGACGACGACGACGCTCGGAATCGTCGTTCTTCATCTATGCCCGAAAGCAGCGAGTACACCAGTCAGTCGAGCTCGTACGAGAAGACGTCCAGACGCCAGGTCATCGACAATGGCCATGACGAGCACGATAAGAGAAGTCAGTTCACCAGAAGTCTCAGTAATGCCGATGTGCCGCAGGACGAAAAAGGTAAGGGAGAAAGTTCATAGTGATTGAAATTAGCTCTCTAAAATGTTATTTCGATAAATTCCATTTTTTAATAACAAGATATATTTGCATCGATTACGTTATCCATTGAATAAACATAATTTCATGAAATCATTACCAAATATTATTTCTTGAATAAACATAATCATATAATTATGGACTTTTAATAATTTTACATATCTATATGATATCGAAAATTACGCTTATTAAAATTATATTTCTTGATTATCAAATTTGATTTCTCTACCATGTCTATTCTATTGTATTTATCTACTGTATCCACATCTTGCTGTTTAATAGAAATTTTGTTTAACACTTATAGCTTTGATTTTTCACTGAATATAAATTCTCTTTAAACAGACATCGATTTTACTGTCACGATGACGTGATATATATAACTAAGAGAGCGAAGACTGAACTCTGCAAAAGTGTAACATGAATTTTCGTTGAGATTTACAGTCACGAACTAGTTGCACTCGAATTTAGCGGTAGTTAATAAACTACGGACACACGTCCGCGCAAACGTTCTAAAAGTTCCTTTTGAGTTCGCCGAGTCACGAACGTCTTTTTCTGTCTTTCTTCAACGATAGTAGAGTAAAGATTACACGCGCATTGCTTCTTATATTTTACATGACAATTATGTTTTTAACCGTGTGTTGCGAAATTTTTAGTTTAACTGACCGAAGCTATATTCTATTATGTAAGTTTGCTTCGTGCTTTCATTCCCCTATTTTCTAAACTGACGTGACAATAAACAGGACGAGAACACAGAGACGTGGCTCACAGTTTTTACTTCACCCTCGGGCCGCTCTGATTTAATTCTAAATGTGTACAAGTACGTGTTCTTGTTTCGCAGACACGGGTAGTTTCAGCGATACTGCGATTGCATTGAACGTTGAAGAAGCAGCGAGGAGAGGTCGTAAGAGCTCGCCAGGAAGTAAAAGCGGAAGTGGCAGCAGTAGCGGAAGCGCGGTGCAGTACCAAGCGGGTTTGGGCAAGAAGAGCAATAGTACCAGCCAATTATCTGCGACAGGTAACACATTGTCACGCTGGCCATTTCTAGTTAAGTTTGCGTTTAGTCTCTACGTGTTATACGTAGTCGTGATTTTCGTAAAGATCGATCGTTCGCGCGAAACTAAAGTCTCCCGGTGCGCGATATTAGAACGTTTGATCGATGTATGACACCATCTTGCGCGACATTAGACAGTTTTCTATTTTCCTGACATTTATATCTTCTCTCTTTAGTGAAAAGGATATCGTTTTCTTCAGAACATCAATATTTCGTAAATTAGGATAGAGTAGTTTAGCATCGTTAGTGTGTAGATTATAACGGTGTGCTCTCGCTACGTGTGTACAAATCAGGATGATGCAAATATGTCGTCGATGTACGAACGCATCTTGTTAAACGTTAATGAAGATAAATTCAATAGCTTTGAACGCATACAACAAAAATTTTTAGTTACGTTTTACATAAAGTTTATAGTCAAAACATGAATGAAGAATGAGAATAAGAAGAATAAGAAACCACGGGTAAAAAGTAACAAGAATAAGCTTGTGTTTGAAAACGTGCGCGGTTGATGAAATGCAGAATTAGTGTGATTGATTACAAACTTCATGTATAAAATACTTAAGACATGTAATATTTTATATGTAAGCATTTTGTATATAAAATATTTCGATGCATACTTTATATATACAGTTATAACTACTTTATATATAAAATACTAAATGTAGGTATTTTATACACACATGAAACGTAAGATTAAGTTACTAAACAAATTGAAAATGATACAAAAAGTACGTTGTGCTCTGTTTGAATGATTTTATTTTACTAATTATTCATTATCTGTTGTACCTTATTCTTCATATTTCAAGTCTTGGTCGTTACGGTTGCGCGGATTGCATTACAATTCGATTCGACGGGTAACGAATTGAACGATAACAAGAGCATATCGTGACAAAGCAAAAAAACCCAATAAGCGGGGCAGTATGTACATTCTAATTGTATTCTTGTTTTCTCCGCCATCCCTCCTCATCTCTATCTGCCTCTTCTTCGACATGAACACACTCACACTTTACTTCTACCAACCAACCACCTCTCGACGCTGGGGGACCATTCACGTCATCGATCTGCACCCACCTGCACGATTTCTCATCGTGGCGGCCGATCGTCGCCCCGCGCTTTCGTGTGCTCGTGTTCATGGAACACTCCACACGGATCACCATCATCGATTTGCTGGACCGATCGCCAAAATAAAAAAAAATAAAAAAAACTTGAATCGATACTCTGTAAAAAAATCGACTCTATAAACTGACATTATGCTCACAACTGTTGCTCTTGCTACCGCAACTTGCAACCACAAACGAACGAACGAACGAACGAACGAAACGAAACGAACAACAAAACTGTTATCACATCACGCAAAATCCATAACATACCACGTGCGTCTGTTGGTGGTACATGCGTGGGCGAGGAAGGACGGAAACGGCGGCTGGGTTTCGGGAAGAAGGGGAAGTCGTCCTTTACAGTTCACAGGAGCGAGGAGGTCCTGCCGCCGGAGGACACGGTCGGTGGTAGGAGCGGCCGGCAGCCGAGCTCCGCGAGCAGCGACGGCGAGGGGAGCGGCGACGGGGACAGGTCCGATTTGCTCTCTCTCAGTAGAAACACTTCTCTCTTTTTCATCTCTCTTTCACTTTATTTTCCTCATTACTTTTGCATTGACACGGGAGCGATCGACTGTGGCCGGGGGGGGGCGAAGGAGGGATTTACGTCTTTACGTGGGGGCGGGCGCGGCATTTACCATCGAATCGTACGTCTTCGCGACTATGAATTCTGAGTGTTTGCACGAAGACTATTATGTCGCGGAATATGAAGGACGATACGTATAATCCATATAGCGCGTAATAAAAATTGTCGCGCGAGTGGAAGAGCGAGGTACTGGGTGGTACTCATAGTCGGATCTTATATTTAAGACCGTCTCAAGTATCAGTTTTAAGATGTCATGAACCAATCGGAGAACTGTATTAACATCTTATGATATTACTTAAGACGGTCTTAAAATAAGAACAGACTATGAATACCGTTCATTATTGATAGAGATTTTTACTCAGGTATACTCTGATCCCATTAGTCGTAAAATTGGATCAAGCCTTCGACGAAATGTGAGTACACGTTGCAGGAGGACTTGCGATAGGAAGAACAAGAAATACTGTCTCTACCGATGAACACCGTTGTTAACAGCAACAATGAAACACACTACACATCACTTTTTAGAGGCCGTGCTTTAGTCGGAGTCGTGCGAGTCTCTCTCGTGATTGTTGTCGGAAAATACTCTCTTGCCTAAAGTTGAATCGGCTCAGTACAGCGGATCCGCAAAGGATTCTCGTATGCGTTGCCATCGAATATTATTTTTCTCTTTTTTTTTTTATTGTACACAATCGAAGAGAAAGTATTTTGCGAATCTGCACGTTTCTACAAATAGTCACGAGGTGATTCCTTTCCTTCTCGTTATTCTAGATCGTAGATGCTATTTCTACGTAGCATTGATACGTTATTTCTAGAGAAACGTTCGCACGAGTTTCCTGGGCTGTAACCTAACAATAAGCTCTAACAATAAGCTCTATCAATATACGTGTTAAATCGTCTGTTTTTTTTTTATATTTCTTCAGAGATGCAGAATCCATCGTCTCTAGTTATGTAATATTTATTCCGACATGACGCGAGCCACGCAGATCAGGAAACTCATATCCTAGTTGCACAAATATAGTTGTGCTGGCGTTTTTTCGTGACTCTAGAATAGTGTCTCGGCACCGTGTGTCACGTTATAATCGTTCCGTTTCATACAGCTTTTGAATCTAGATCGTCGCGTGGTCAATTTGAATTTTTCAATTGCATCGAGGTAAGTTGGCCACCTGTGTGATACGTAATTTTTTTATTATTTCTTAGAAGCCGCTGTTGATACGTGCTTAAGGTGAGAGTACGCTACTCACACGGCTTTTGACTTTTCGATGTCCTGAATCGTTGCCATGCTTTTACGGAGTATATTTACGTTACTATATATATATATATATATATATATATTTCTGCGATGTCACTGATTACAAATCTATCGTTGAATGTGCTGTCAGATAAATGCGATGTCATTGATTACAATTTATCGTTGAATGTGCTGTCAGATAAATTATTTCCGGACAATCCTTACGTACTAACTTGATAATTATACATTTTTATTGCATTTTTCTAAATTCGATGTACAAATTATAAGTGTACAAAATGTATGTATATGTATAATTGTATATATAATTATCTTTGTACTTAAGGCGTCCGGATTCAATAATCATACAACATGGAATAATATGGTAGATTAAATATATATATTAATTTTTCTAAAGTCACAACTAATTAAATTTTATAGAGCAATATAAAGGAAGATATATTAATTGTTTCTGACTAATTTTTTTTTCGACAGCCTGCGTAAATTTATTCAAAAGGAGATTAATGAAGCATACTAGACGACTGAAGGTTTATCTATCTATACTTTTGTGTGCTATCTATTACTATTAAAACAAATTTTTATTGGATCGTCTTAATGATATTTTATGTTTCTATAAATTGATTTTATTTTGCATTTAGTAATTCCAAAAAGAATAGTCTGTTATGGTTCATATAAATGCTATCACGTTATTTGTAATATGACGAACGTCAAAACTTACAATTTTTCATGTAGGACACTAAGATTAAATATATTCCTGTGTTAATGTCAAATGCAAATGGCCGAGCAATGTTATCCCGTTACATTTCACTCTAAATATAACACCTCAATAAATTTTTACATTCCCTTTTCCTACCTATGTAGAATTCAATTTAAAATGTTTCTCGAATTACAAGATCTCATTTCAGTTCTGCATTTTTTATCACTGATCATTAGACTATTTCTGGAAAAAGAGTTGAGAGAGTAAAAACGAGAAAGCAAACAAAGCATGAGAGAAGAAATTTGCATGGCACAGAGAGAGAGAGAGAGAGAGAGAGAGAGAGAGAGAGAGAGGGAGAGAGAGAAGTAGTCAACAAAATCTTACATGTTGAAATTGTGTTTGTTATTTTATCATTGCTCGTGCGAAGATAGGCTAAATTAATAACCGGAAATTCGGTAGCTCTCTTGGATACCTGAGGATGAGGGAGAGATGAGCCGCTGCAGTACCGGCGTACGCAGATATTAATAAAAGACAATAGTTTAGCGGTATTTCTTGTTTGGTTTACAACGCAGAGTGCGGCGGGATGATCATCAGCATTGGTGGAAGTGCCGGCGCCGTGGCACGCGGTGCCGGCTTATCGAACCGGAAACGTAACAGCACGCCGTGCAGCATACAACGATCCGAGGAGATCATGCCGGCCTACCAGCGCTTTGACAACAAAGGATCCGCAGCCAGCGATACTGCCGGAAGTCTCAACTCGATTTCTAGTTCCGAAGGAAGCTCGTAAGTAGTGGACTCCACCTGTGGCGACCAATTCTGCAAGCGGAAAAAGCGCGAGATTCCTGATATATACCCTTACTTTCTCTCTCTCTCTCTCTCTCTCTCTCTCTCTCTCTCTCTCTCTCTTCTCTCTCACTCTCTCTCTTCTTTCTTCTTTTCGGTTTCTTTTCTTCTATCATTTGACGCTGATCCTACTACTAATTTCTATTCCTCTGTGATTTTACTTACATTCTGCCCTCTTAGGCCGCTTGCACCTTGACTAAACGCAAAATGAGCTGTAAGTTGTAATTGAGCTATATGAAGGTGAGTTTATAGATTAATATATATTATCGGGAGAAAATAACGAAAATATAGATAAGAGTAACAAATTCTATGTTTGAAGTATATTTCTGTTGTGTGTTAAATATATTAGACTTATTAAAATATATGTATTTCAAACAGGGTTTTTCTCGTATATTATTGAGTTTCTGTACTAAGAGAAAATAGAATGAAAAAGTCTGAGTAGATAGATGAGAAATATTAACAGATGAATTAATATAAATTCAAAAATTATGAGCACATAACAAGTAATGTCGAGCATGGATGTAACGCTTGCTCAGTTTAATGATTACTTGCTTTCGAATATTGTTTAGTAAGTTCATTATTTGAGGTGTTCACAGCTTGCAGCTCATTGCTTATCGTTTGTCAATGTACATGCTTATTGTCTTTTCATACTCTAACTCTAACTCTATAATCAATGGAAACTTATTCTTTGTCGTTCGTATAAAATATGTATTTAACTAGAAAAATTAACAAATTTATTTATATGTTGTATAAATTCTCAAGATAATTATGGTGTAATAAATTATTATTATTGCTATCATAGAATAATCTTAGTTATAGACAAAGAATAATCTTGCTTATTTATCTTCTTCTATATCTTACTCCTTGTATGCGCCAAGATCTGTCTACACCTAAATCATAAACGCTCCACATCGATTATTAATTCGATTTTTAGACGTATAATTGAAAGTATGTCAGTAATACGTCCGTGATTCGAACTGTGTAATTACATGATTGTGACCACACGCTTTTTTTCATATCTCTTCGATTTTTGTCAATTTGCAATTTAGATTATTCATATGATTTTTCTCACAGTCCCTTTCTCGATTTATATTATCCATTATACTATCCATAAACAAAGTGCTGTTTACAAAATCCATAAATGAAAATTAGAAATTTAATGTTTGTATATCATATCATCATGTTTTATTGCAAGATGAGTAACTTGTTTTTACACCTGTTTATTCTCCCCTTTTTTTATTTCGTTGAGTTATATTTGACATATAATAATTGAATAATAATTTATATAATCAGGATTAAAAAAATTTTAGGAAATGTAATATTTTTTGTATCAGTAGAATACTTGTATTGTATGTCAATATTATAATGCGAGGAAAAAATATGTATTATAAGGTACAGTCTTCGACGAATTAGCTGTGGGATTTATATTCTACTGTCTTTTTCTGTCTCCTTTTTATGAAAGCGTCCATAAAAATATTGTTGTTCATTATCGGTGTTGTTGTCGTCTTGGCTTAATTGCTTGATTGTGGCAAATGATTGTACTGCATTACCTCGGAGCACCGTTGCACATATATAATGTACACACACATACATATATACACATACACACGCACTTTTGTATCTATGTCAATGTGATATCTCATTGTCGCGGAGTTACATATTTTCTACCTACATGGTAAGAAAAACCCTGTGAATATGTCGAATGTCACCTAAGAATGTCTTCGCAGGACTTCACGTCTTCCCAATGGTTTCCACCTACTTCTGTACGATCCATTGTCTTTTATATACTCGACTATGCTATTTATTGATATATCGACGTTTCTTGTAAAGTAATCCCCTCTGTCTTATGGATTTCTTATCATTTCCATAAAGTGTGTTTGATATATCGTAGAATAGGTATTGTACAGCGTGTGTATCTTTTAAAGTACCTGCCAGTTCGAGGTGTAACAGTAAGAAATTAAAAATAAACTAAACGTAGGTATGCGTGCCTACGTGACTTACAGGGTGTAAGCAAACGCTTTGTCGGTTTGGCACAAAATGTTTAAGAATAATAATTTTGCTAATAAGTTATTTTACTCTTTGGCAGCGGTAATATGGTCGAAACTTCAGAGAAAATGATTGGGTGCAATCGGATGTATGAACTTCTATTCATATGACTTTGCCCGACACTCAAATATACTGTCGCACTTATTGGTGGTATGATAATATTAAAATTATTATATCTATCTTAAACGGCTGACAATGCTACTAGATATAATTACTCCACAAAAAGGATGTATATTTATTTCATAAGATATTACGAAAGCTAATTTCTAAGTATGATTAGTTATTAGATTAACAATAATTTTGAATGGCTGTATGTATACTCGATGTGGATATCCACATTTATAGCAAATCTGTTTTTAAAAAGATCCGCTTATCTTTAGTAACGTGAATCTTCCCAATGGCGTAACGACAAGTAAGTGTATGTTAATACAAATCATTTTAATTAATTTTTTGTATGATTTTAATAAAGCATGTTAAGTAGATAAATGTAAGCGAAGAAACAGTACTCAGTCGTATGTTAAAATTATCGATAATCAAAAAAAGATACAAGATAGAAATTCTAAAAATAATTTTCATATTGTATCATTGAAATTAATTATTGCACATTTATATATTCTTTGCATTTTTTTCTTCGATTGTATACATTGAAATGGACTGATTACTGTTATTTATAATAATTATCCAAAATCTCTCTTTCTGCGCATTTAGATTAAAATGCATGTCTTAGCAATCTGATATGTTTTTAAACTTATTTACATAATCTCTTTTTTCCATGTGTATAATATTATATTTACTCACTATACACTGACACTACACTTTCAGCGTGAGTTCTTCTTATCTCAAACTGAATGAGGTGTGTTCTCTATCTTTTACAACTTTCGTCGAAGGCTTGCGAGAATTGTCCCTCGCTCCTACGGAAATATACTTTCGTTTATGATTTTTCTCCTTCGCATTTTCTTCATTGCATCAGAGAGTTCCTTCGAATACTATAATTTTCGGCTTGCAGTTTTCGCGCTTTATTTTTTCTACTGTGGGTTATCGTACGTTAGAACAGTCAAGATCATTGTACATATACATCTTGTATAAGTTTAGTGTGCGAACAAGAAAACGGAAAAAGGAAAACTTATAAAATAGAGTTCCCATTTTTCATTGGTCGCACGGTAAACACTATCAGCTAAATTTTCACTCTTCTTCACCCGAAGTCTTGTATTATTTCTCCAAGCATTTTATTTAAATCATTCTTCATATTTTTTCTAATACCCAGAATAAGTTGCGTTTCTTTACTAAATAAATAATTTTAAAAACTGCAGTTGGTCTCCCAGCCTGCGAATGGCAGGCGACGGGCAGTTGAGAAATTTCATTGAAGATCTCGGACCAGGCCAAGTGGTCGGAAGACAAGCACTCGCTACCCATTGCCTCGGCGAGATTCAGCTGTCGTTGAGCCATACGAAGGGTTACCTTGAAGTAGAGGTCATACGTGCCAAAGAACTCAAAGCGAAACAAGGCAGTAAAGTAATACCAGGTTAGTCAAACTTTGATAAGTTTCACGATTGCCGAAGTGATACGGACGCGCTTAGTTTTTCGACTCTCTTATTCCAGCTTCTTACGTGAAGTTGTATCTGGTGAACGGTAAAAGATGTATAGAGAAAGCGAAAACCACGACGGCCAGAAAAACGCTGGATCCATTCTATGGTTCGCAATTATTGGCTTTCAAAGAAAACTGCCGAGGTTGTATATTACAGGTACGTCGTTGGCTGTTTTTCTAATTTTCTTTTTTTAATTCAATTGCGATTTTATGCGCATTATTGCATACTGTTTCAGGTGACAGTATGGGGAGACTACGGTCGGATAGAGGGAAAAAAAGTGTTCATGGGTATTGCACAGATCATACTGGATGAGCTGGACCTCAATCAGATGGTGATCGGATGGTACAAGCTGTTTGACACCCAAGCCCTGGTCAGTGGAGCTTCATCTCTTGCTTTGTCCCGTCGATCTTCGGTTACGTCTCTCGATTCTTTTAAAATCTAAAAGAATGACTGTCCGAAGAACGTACCGAAATATTCCTTTTATACGTATTTACTGAAGAGATCTTTAAGTTTCTTGCAGTAGACAGAGTAGCGCAGACACAGTTGAGTTCGAGCTCCTATCGCGGTGCACCCAGTCGCTTTTATCATTAACAGAATACTGAAATGCACGAGTCTCGATGTACAAGATAGTATTACATTTGATTAAACAATAGAAAATGTATGGAAATTATTATAAACATCTTTAATAACTTAAGTGACACGTATAAAATCATTGCTTGATGATATTAAATGTAGTATTAAATAAATATATTAGGGGATAGAGAGTTCGAATTACTACAACCATAAATTGAAAGAAGTGTTTAAATAATTCTTTACCGTGTTGTAATATTACATATTCTTCACTATGGTTGACAGAATTGAAAAGAATCTTATACACCCTACACGCGTATTCCCCATAGGCTATTAATGTCGAAGCCTAAAGCTATTTAACGAGTGACGTTCGGCTCTGAATACGGTAAAGTAAGTTTAACGAACAACATAACGAGGAATATACAGTATGAAAAGTGCGATTGTATACGGATAATAAAAAATTCTGCGAAATCGGAATGAAAACGAGAGATATAAGCAATACAAAGGCGATGCGAGAATTTAAAAAGAGTGAAAAAACATACGAAAGGATGTCTTTCTAGAAACACCACTAGTACATCACATATAATGTACGGCATATCAGACGAGCCACTAGTCTGTATGTAGACTAGATGTAGACGTAGCAGCCATGTTCCCGGAGCGCCAGATAGTTTTAGGTACGCACTGAGATGAAGGCATCGTTCGTAGATAGTTGGACAAAGATTTAACATGGGTACATAAAAGGCGATATAATAAAAAAGCGCTGATACGATTGCAATCTTTCGCGGGATGATTCCAATGTCTATTCGTAATACCTTCACGATCAAGTACCGTAATATCGCTCGTATTTTCAGGATATTAACCTTTCGATCGATTTTCTCAAGTACCCATGTGAAATCTTGATACACATTTGTTGTTGCCAATATCTTCTTTTCATTTTCACCGTTTCTGTATAGAAATCTCCTCTTATTATTCTTTGAAAATGCTTGCCCTATATAAAAATACTTCCATTTCGGCTTCGAAGTAGCGACATAGGTCGGTATTCATAGTCAGTTCTTATTTCAAGACCATCTTAAGATGCTAATACGGTTCTCTGATTGATTTATGACATTTTAAGTTTGTAAGTTAAAACTATTTTCAGTATAAAACTCGACTGAATACCGGCCATAGTGTCGATAACAGAAAGGATACGAGATTACGTTATCATATATGCGGTCGAAACTTCGTTGCCACGTGCTGTATGCATCGATTTTACCTTTCTGAATTTGTAGAAAGAATATGCCTTTGTCTACGAAATTTGGTTCGATATGAAAATAGTTCAATTTCCATTAATCCTTGAATTTACTATTTGCACACTGTAAGTTTAATATTTATCCTCATCCATTTAAGAACGACTTTTATAGATTTCCTGATATTGCTTGATATACGTCACATTATTAATTTCGACCTTTGCACAATATTCATTCTCTTTTTCATGACTCGTTTGAACGTCCTTGTAAATGGTATAAATCGTAACAGTTTTTAATATGCTTGAATTTTTAACAATATAAAAATAATATGAAAAGTAAATGAAGGTAAGTTTGTGCCGTATTCGGAGTCCTATGTATCCTCTTGTATATTTTCTCAAAATGTTTTCAAGATACAATCAATTTGAGATATTGAATGGTGTCGAAGAAATCTCATGATAAATCGTGAATTTATACAGGGTGTCTGGAAATTACCGCCAAATGTTTCGTGTGTAAGTAGAACAGACTATACTGAGTCGAAAAGTCTTGTACCATTTTGCGGTGTCAGCAATAGTTAACGAGATATTAATTATTAAAAATTGTAAAATATTAGTCTTGAATAATTTTTTACTCAAATACTATCAACTTTACAGAAAAATTGCGAGAGACAAAAATCATTAATTTTCTTCTCATAAAGTTCGGAGAATTTTTTCAGAATTTTTTAATACCGTATTTTCTCATGTTCGTAAAAATAAGAAAACGCAGTACTAAAAAGTTAATAAAAAATTCCGAAAAAATTCTCAGAACTTTATGAGAAGAAGATAAATGATTTTTGTTTCTTGCAGTTTTTCTGTAAAGTTGATAGTATTTGAGTAAAAAATTATTTCAAGACCATTATTTTGCAATTTTTAGTAATTAATATCTCATTAACTATTGCTGACACCGCAAAATGATACAGGACTTTTCGACTCAGTATAGTATGTCCTACGCACGAAACATTTGGCGGTAATTCCCAGATACCCTGTATATACGATGACAGTGTATGATGCGTGAATCTCATATGCATGTGCATTGAGAATTTTTATCATTCAATATTTCATGAAAAGTAAATGTTATATATTTGTAATTAATAATACGTTTGTTTATTTTCCAGTGAAAACAAATTAAATCGAGCAAGTTCAGGATAGATGTGAACTCAAATGTGGTGCACTAGATAAATAAGATGTGAAACGGTCAATGACACTCGTTTTCAGTGAATCTAAATGTGGTTAAGTGAAAAATGAAATTCATGAACACAGTGAGAAATATGCGATACATGGATAAATCACGGACTTCATTTAAACGGCATGTGAGAGAGATTTAAAATATTGAGACATTTCAAATGAGAAGACATTTCCAAACTTTGTATATAATTTAGGACAGTTCAAGTATGTCGATCTCCGAAACGATCGGCTAAAAGACATTTATCGTTGTCAAATTTTTAGTCAAAAATGTCACCGTCAGAGCATATATTATTTAATGTAAATATTATAATAACACTAATATGAGAATTTGCGATATGTGCGCGCAAGTTTGAATGGATAATGACATTTACTTTATATTCTCGTTGACTTTCTACGATGATCGTCGTTATAGTTTTGATTTTTTTTTAATTACACAAACTCGATCTAATTTAACATTTTTTAAGTTAGCATCGGAATAATTAGAATGTACGATGATATAATTAATTACACAGTTTGTTCCCTGAATATTGACATTTATTGGTTATCGTATTAGCACATGTTACTTGGCTTTTTAAATAACGTTTAGTAATCTGTGTCCGAAAAAAAAGAGATACTTATTATGATGTAGAAAATATGGAACAGGCATATGTACTATATTTCTCAAGTACGAAGCAGACTGATAAATCGATTCCTACACATCTAGTTTGGATCTTTTCGTTGATAATTCAATTAGCAGTCTCAAAGCCAGAATTAGCAATCTCAAAGTCAGAATGAAGTATACCCGAACGATTACGAATCAGCTTCGTTTGAAAGCTTTGTTTGGAAGATTTCATTCGCGTATAAGAACCAGTTTTCGAAACAAATTGAAAAAAACAAAACCGCCCATATAACTCGCGTAAACGGGACGCGTCGCGGCAAAAATTCTCTTTCGTACTGATTTTGTACAAAAACAGTGAAATGCCACTAAATATATTTAAGAGGCTTTGTAAATCTCTGTAAGAAGCGCGTAAAAGAAATGCTTGCCATTAATTTTATATCTTAATTATCGTGCTATGTGTTCGATCTTTCTTCGTGCGTATCTCGAACACTCGCGAAGATATATTCAGCGAGCATGCACATGCACGTCTGCTGTGAATTAGTAAATAATTACATTTGTGCTCTCTGAGAAAGAGAGAGAGGGGGGGGAGAGAGAGAGAGAGAGAGATTGAGAGAAAGTGAAAGTGAGAGTGAGAGAGAGAGAGAGAGAGAGAGAGAGAGAGAGAGAGAGAGAGAGAGAGAGAGAGAGAAGAGAGAGAGAGAGAGAGAAAGTGAAAGAGCATTATCTTTTGCGAAGTTTTTAAGATTTAGCGTGAAAACTTCGTGTAAAAGACAACGTTTCAATTTAATTATAATGCATGGGATTTTGAAAAAAAAACAAGGGAAAGTCTGAAAAGCAGCAAATTTTCCATGTTTTACAGGTATTATTGCGATTTGCGTCAATATTTATGTCACAATTTAGGTGCACTTTTACGAGTTGACACGAATACGAAAATTAGGAAAATCACTGCGCGAAGTTTCTTTGTAAGTCTTGTTAATAATCTCATGAAGTAAGCTTTTTATGTGACATACCTTAAATTACAAATCATTGTATAGTTGAAAGGTACTCCTTGGATATTATCGATAAAATTGACAAATGGAATGCAAGCTTCAATGTATATGGCTATATTACGTATATTTTTGTAAATCTACGATTTACTATAAAAATTTGCTAGAGATATAGGTTTGAATGTAGAAAAATTTCTATAATTCGCATCACGTTTCTTGTATCACTCTTAACATCCAACGACATTAACGTCGACGATCTTTTATCACAAATTCTTAATATGATTGACCAAGTATAATATTTTGCTTTGCAATTTGAAATGATTGTCTCACACATCTCGCACTCGCATTTCCGCTCTCCATTATATCAATATTTCTATGCAATTTCTATCGCAACGCGATCTTTGAGGTAAGATCGAGATAATACAAGCGCGGAGTTTGATACGCGTGTTGAGATTATATTGAAATGTCATCGAAATATATACAGTCCGTCGTTAAGAGAGTTATGACATAAGACTTAACTTAGAATTTGACGAACGAAATAACAAGTACCGTTAATTTACAGATGAAGTATGTAGATGTCACCGATAATCCGATTGTTCACGACAAATCCTAGGTAACGTAACTTTCTCGTAATCGGGAGACCGATTGAGCTTTAGGGAATGGTGGAATTGTATAAAGAGTGGTATCTTATCATATCTATACATGCTTACATTAGAGACGTACAGCAAAAAAAGAAAGAAGCTTTTTTACTCGTGAGAAAACAAAGACAGAAAAGTAGAGTTCTATCCGAAGACAAAGATATGTATATGTAAAGTACTGTGAAAAAAAAAGATATTATTGTAAGCTGATTTCTAAGTACATACCTATTTTGCAAGTGCACGAATTTATCAAGATCGTGGATGACATATACACAAGCATAATTCTGTAATAGTTAATTGATAAAATATACAAGACTACAAGATAAAAACTCTTCTGTTTGTAACGCGTCGTTTACAGACGGCTGTATAAGATTCTTCGCGAAATTGATTCGACACTCGTCTCTTCGTGAGCTGTTTCTTGCGTTTTCGACAAGTAAAACGATCGACACAAATTCGTTTAATTTATTACTTAGAGTTGAGAAAAATCGTAGAATTTGTATATCATGAAAACTTGCAAAGACTGCGCTCGCATAAATAATCGAGCGATTCGGAAAATTAAGAAAACCACAATTGTTACATGACTATGCGCACTGCGAATAATAGAATAGTAGATAAAATGGCAAATAAAATCATTCTCCGTGTCGAGAAGAATTGCGCGTCGTCAAATTTACGAGTAACGAAAGTAACGTAAATTCGCTCATCGCGCGAACAATGATCTACAGTAATAATGCTAATACAATTCGTATGGTATCGATTAGAATCGTCGATCTGTCATGAGAAACAGCGCGAAGAGTGCATACGTCAATTTCTATTCTTGCCATGCCCATTTGTACATAGGCATGCTCAATTCTAGGATCGGACACGCGCATCACATAAATCACACACACATATATATATAATATTAAAATACGAAACTACGGAATATAAATTATTATCCGACTTTGTACCTATATATTATTAATTAACTCAATGAAAGGGATCGGGGTAAAACCCCGAAAACTATTATCGATTCGAATAGTGAAAGCTAATGCGAAAATGGGGGCGAATAATCGAGCAAAAAGAAAGAAGAAGTCTAATAAAAGGTAACAAAGAAGCAACATTAAGCGGATGAAAATGCTGAGAACCAAGGGGTACCACATTTGTCAAATTTAGAGAGCCAATTTAGATTTACAACTATGATAGAGTGTGCATGCGCATGTGTGTTTCGTGTGTGTGTGTGTGTTTGCGCGTATAAGTGTATCGAATGTACGAGACGAGGAAAATAAAATGAGAGAGAGAGAGAGAGAGAGAGAGAGAGAGAGAGAGAGAGAGAGAACGAAAGAAGGGAGATTATGCAAGATATGTATAACGAGCTGTAAAAAGTGAATTAATCATTATTCTTATAGGAAGAAGTCCAGCGTAGCTTACAGGCGATCTTGTAATCTTGTATCGTAAGCTCACGAGCGACTCGTATATATCTGAATGCACTGAGAACCAGAAGTGACTAGATACGCATATCACCGTCGATCGATTATTTTCACAATCGATTTCGACGATATTACGAACAGCATGTTAAATGTTGAATGTTCTAATTAGACCTTTCTGTGCTTTTTTCTTTTACAAACGTATGACTTTCAAAGTATTAAAAATTTTTCGAGCATCTTGTCCGATATTTTCTAAAGTGAGTTACGAGTCGGTCGTAAGAACGCGAGCAGTTTTACAATCTTAAGATTAAACGAAAAATAAAAGGGAAAGGGAATATTGTTGTCCGAAGTCATGCTTGTTGCTCGAAACGGATCGCTCGACGGGTGAGACTCATACATTTCTAATTTATTGATAATAAACACACGTCCGAATTTATTTCTATAAAGAATAAGAGAGCGGACGAAAGAAAAAATTTAAAACAAAAAAGGAAGAAAGCAAGTGAGAACGAAAATAAGAAAAAAAAGAAGAGAACACGCGCGCGCGCATTTGTGTGTGTGGGAGAGAGAAAAAGAGAAAGAGTAAATGAGTGTGTGTGTGAGAGAAAGAAGTACGGGAGAGAGAGAGAGAGAAAGAGGGAAGAGAATGTATAAGGTGTACAAGAGAGCGGAAGAGAGCGGGCGTCACGAGAAAGCGTATAATTTTTCGTTAAACAAAAACAGAAATGAAAACACGTAAATTACGAAAGAACGAAAGAATTTAAGCAGTACGTTTAGACGACGTTTCGCGGAACCTCAGCTGAGAACTCCGTGAACTCCGAACTTTGTTCTTTTCCTTTCTCGTTTTCGGAAAAGCGACGCGCGAAAATCAGAAATACGAAATAATACCGTACGCCGTACAATGCGAACGTTTCATTTTCGTTTCTTTAAATTAATAGTGTTGTATCTCCCTCCCGGGGACGTGTTGTAAAGAGCTAATCACCTCACTCACGGAGTTCGCGGCAGGAGATCACGAGACGATTAAGTATAAAGCGTTAGTGACTGTATCCAGTATCATATATCTGATAAAAGATACCCCCGATGCCAGAGATGGCGTGTGACAATAAAGTGATTCAATGATCCTGTCGTGTTTCTTTCTCAGTCACCCCTCATACTTTAGCTTGGGTTTTTCCTTTCCATGAAAGAAGAAAATGATAAATGCACAGTAAAAAAGAAAATGTTAATTTTAACATTTGTTACATGTCCCAGGAGATCCACTCTAAATTTTAAGTTAAAGTAACTCATTCGTCTAGTGTTATTTATTAACGAACTGGTAATGTTAAATAATTGACATAATACTTTACATTTATATTTGTTATTTTGACTTTAGGGATGATTTAAAACTAACATATAAAATAAGTAGAGTACATAGAATAGTAGTTGCAGTAACTCGTATAAGAAAATGTTAATAAAACATTTTTGTTTAAAGCTTATTTACTATTATGTACAGACTTCAGTACGTAACGTAACGAGTTAGGGCTACCGCAGACAAAATTTCTGTAACAGTAACCTTAAGACGTGAAATTAAGCCGATGAGCCAATCAAGATACTGCTTTAGATCTACATACTCTAACGGAAATAGAAATAACAATAAACTTATACATAAAGCGAGTTTCAACCGGTTAAAATTCGCTTTATTGCGAGGTTATGGATAATTATGGATAAGTTTATTGGTATTTCCATTTCGGTTAGATTACATAGACCTAAAGTAATATCCTAATTGGCTCATCGGCTTAAATTTACG